ACTATAAATATTCACTAGTTGGTCTCTTTCTGTACCGATAAAATACATGATTTATAGAGACGGTATGGTACGGACGACTGGTCGAGCCGTCTCTACGAACGAACCATCACCCGCCATACCTATAAATGCTTATGGTAGCAGTGACAAAAAGGCTGTCCCGCTCCCTGTTCCCTGTTCGCAACTACCAAGTCATAAAATGTTGTACACGACCATGCATGACGTGCTAGTGAGCGGTGTACACGGTGTATGAGCGAGCACAGCTCGCCGCTGCTTGTCTTTTTTTAGGGAAGTATAGCTGGGGCAGGGAGTGCTCACCAGTAACCGTGCAACAAATATTGTGTGCCACGTACGTAATCGATGGAGCTGCAAAGTGTGATGCACAAGCGATGCTCTTTCCCTACGAGTACTGTACGTACGTGCCGAAAGAGACGTGACAAAAGTTTACTCTCTTACACTTGTCTAGCTAGCTACAGCGGCGCGACGACGCGCGACGTTGTGGATATGATGCATGGCACACGCCACCCACGTTTATCCCCGCAACAAACAAACCGTGTGGGCGTGAGCGTATGCAGCGCTGCTGCCTGCGGACGCCAAGCCAGCAAAGGAAAAAGGGCGAGCCCCACATCATCCCCCGGCGTCCACGCGGCGCCCGGCGCGCGCTTCCGTGCACGGCGCAGCCGCTTTCGGGAGCGGGCCGGGGGACCACCAACGGATGCTCAGCCATCCGGCGCCGCACAGCTGGCGGATGCCACGTCGGAGGATGCATGCGTGCCGGCTGCTGCTCGCGTGAACGTGTGACGCTGGTTTCATGTTCCAGTTTTGCCACCGCAGTTTTATAGGACTAGATTGACGATTGAAATAATCTCTCTACGTAATAGGAGGCTGCAAACAGACTGAATGTTGAGGGGGAGAGAGAGAAGAAACGGACTGTAAGCTTATAATTGGCTTAGACACAAGAACCAAAAAACTCTGTAAGAGAGATAAGTGGACCATGTATTAATATTGAAGATGTAACTATTATATGAGTGGGCTAAAAAGTAGGCAGCAAGGATTCATACAGCTAGCAGCTGGTGTATTATTAACCTTGCTCTCAATGCACAGTTTCATATCACGGTTTCATAGACTAGTTGTAGCATTTAATCCTTGCACTATGTTATGATCAAATGTGCCATGTAAAATATGTGGCTATTTGAAACCGTACGTAAACAAAACTATACCTTCCAAGTCTTCCATTTTACAAGGACAGGAGAACATGATGTCAATCTCTCGGGCTAATCGAATAGATGAAGTACAGAACAGAGATGGCTAGCATATTTCACGTATTTTCACAACCCCCGCCAAATACGTGAATATATTCAGTTAGGATTTATTTTATCACCTAAAATATGTGAGATGCATTCGGTATGGAATGCTTCCAAACAAAAGGTTTGCATCAGCCTCCAAATAATCGATAGTACGTCCCCGTTCGCTTGTGTGAAAAAAACAGCCAAAACACTGTTGTTATTGATTTGTTGTGAAAGAAAAACACTGTTTCGGTTAAAAAAAGAAGCCAAACAAACTAGATTTTAAGAGAAGCGAACTTGGCCATCAGGTTATAGAATCTTTTGTCTATGACTGTATACACATATCTGCATACACATCTTGATGTAGTATTGAGTTTCCATTCATTCGTTCGGCAGGAAACTACTGTTATCTACAACTTCAGACCATGCTAAGGCAAGGTTGATGCAGGCTACTCGACACTACTATTAAAACATAACTAGGATTTGGACATATGTAATCAGCAATTGACCATGACCGCAGAACATGGCTAGCTTTGATTTGGACCTATGTAATCAGCAATCGACTGAAACAGATACGATTCAGTTCTCTTGGAAAATACGGGAACCACATGAGCCACCAGTACGCAGGATAAACCAGAGCCCGAAAGAGCAAACAAAGTTCTACTCAACTGGCTTCCCACACAATCCAACGGCACGTTCGTTTTGTCGTAAACGATCGTGGATTATTTACTGCTGGTTAGCTTGGTGTGAGAGAAAAATATTATTCTAACTTATAATCCACGATGGTATACGAGCAAGAGATCAGGCGCCCGGACGTCTGGTTCTTGGAGTTGTGCTGCTGCCGCCACCACGATGCACCTTTTCCTCCGTCATCAGAGCCACACCGCGTCGTTCTTCCGGCGTCGCTGAGTGGATCCGAAGGGGATGAGGAAAAAGGGGCATGAGAAGAACAGGGATTTGTTGGGGATTGCAGGCTTGCAGTGGGAGGAGGATTGGCGCAAGGAGACGGGGGATTTGGCGGGGGTTGGAGCGAGGAGCAGAAGGATTTGGCTGGCATTTGCGCGAGTAGACAACTGCCGCACTGGATCGAGGAATGAGGGGGCGATGAAACGAATAGTTCACAGTGCGCGTTTCACCGGCTTTCCAACGCCTTGGAAACAGAGCAAACTCTTTCACCGTGATGAAACGTTTAACACCTCTCTCTCCTCACTAATCTGGTGCCACATCATCTTATTTGCTGACATGGCATCTCATTTAATGACATGAAACATCCATGAAATGTCCATGAAGACTGGCCTTATAGCTAGCTAGCATACTGAAATGTCAGTGGCAGGCAGACGTACGGATGCGTCGCGTGGTTGGTCACGGCGGTGAGAGTGAGAGAGAGCACAAGATCAAGACGACGCACGCACGCGCACAGGCGCACTCGCACGCACACTCAGACTTTGTGATCGAGACTGCCACGTCTTCCTCTGGTCCCGTGCCGGCTGCACGTACCTAGTACGTACGTGTCACGTTTTGGCAGTATCTCGTCCAACTGTCTACAGACAGGACGAAGTTACTGGGATGGCGTGGATGTGTGTGTGTGTGGCACCAAAATTACCGTACCGCGCCGCACAGTCCGTGCACCATGCCATTGCCGCACGTTTTTTTTTCATCGGAAGAACGAGTGGTAAAGATTTCTCATCGACACGCCTCGATCGGACGCACTAGCCGGCTGAAAGTATCTCGTCCTTTTCGAACGCTGAAGAAGACTCTGGACAATAAGAGATTGGAGGACAATGAGGAAGCTGGGGGTTCTACGTACTTAAGGCACCATTTTATTAATAATGTGATAAAAGATGATTTCCCCCGTGCTAACCTTACCCACAGAACTGGTGTTTGGTTCAACTAAATGTAACGTAATTGGATTACCGAGGGTAATGGATATCGTTACTGTTGTTTGGTTGGACTTGTCCCAATATCAGGTAACCTGTAATCCAATTACAGCCTATTCAATTCCGATCCCGGACATCCCCATGCCTTATTCGATACCGCCGCCACCGCTATAGGACTAGGGCGCTTTCTCTTCCTCGCCTCGCGACTCTGTAGATGCAGCTGTGGTCGACGAGGGGCTTCAAGTTCAAGATCCGCGTCAACTCCTCCCTCGCGTGCTCCACGGTCCAACAGCGAACTCACGTCGCTCCCCACGAAGTTGGCGACCCCAAGATGTTCGTCCTCCCCACCCCCAGGGACAAGCTTGGGCCCGGATTCAATGTTGCTGCCGCTACATCCGCCGTCCCTGTAGTCGTGAGGAGGTGGTGGTGGTGGTCCTCGCAGCGCCTGATGTCATGCCTGGCAGCGGCGGTGCGGCCGGGGGCCGTGATCGGAAGAATCACGGCGGGCACCGGGAATGGCAAGGCCAAGGGCTGATGCGGTGGGAGCGAGGTGGACCTGCACATGCTGCTCGTCGGGGGAGCGGCTCCAGCACCGGCCAGGTTTGTCGCTAGGTGAGTGGACTCCGTAATCGTGCGTTCATCGCTCCCTGAAGATTGGTCGCTCAGCGTCGTCGTGCAGCTAATGCACTCAGCTGATTCCATTACCGTCCAAATCCAAACAAAGTCCGTGATTTGATTCATTGTTTATGGTCTCGGGGTAATTCGATTTCGTTTACATTTGCCAACCAAACAGCACGTAAGGTCCTATGTGTATCAATTCAATAGCCAGTCTTTGGCGATTGGAACACATATATAAGTCAGCAAAAGTACAGTGCCACACCTATTTGAGTGGGACATGTCGAGCTCAAGGACTATAAATACTCCTCGATCATAATGACCACATGATCAATGCAAATATGCTTACGAGTAATCCCTCTAGAGGTACAACTATGCTTCATTTGTGAAATGGTTTTTTTAGCCTCGGCTCTAAAAGCAGCTTTACTGGTGGAGTTGATAAGATGTTTGATAAAATAGTTTCTCATGGTGGATAAAAAGATAAAATTTCTATAATGCCCTTGTCTTTTTTTTCTTTTTTTCTATCATTTTCATCTTTGCTTTCTTCTTGTCCGCCTGCGTCCTCCACGATCCATCCTTATCCCTTATTCGACCGGCTCCTCCATATGCTTTGTCCGGAGCTTGGTCACCCGAAGCTTCTTCGACCACGTGGCAGTGTGCCCCAGTGGCCGGTGCCCTTGTGGGCCCCGTCTTGACATTGTCCCTATAGTACCACGGCCGGCACCCCGACGCCACACTTGGCTTCCGCCCCAATGCCACACTCCACCTCCGCATCCAGCGACCACGCCACCTCAGCATCAAGCAACTACGCTGGCTGTTTGAATGTATAGGGACTAAACATTTATCCAACTAGTTAATTCTGTGGATCGAAACCTGACCCCCATGTCTATTGAGGCACACAAAAGCTCAAAGGTTTTGTGGACTGCTCGAGATCAAGGAGCATATGAACGCTGGCTTATACAAAAGAAAAAAGTAGCATGAACGCGAGTATTAAGGAAAAACATGAAGGCATCTTTTGTCGATCACTAGAAACATCCGTGCATGATGCTTGATGCTTGATGCCTTCATGCATAGGAGTACTACTAGTACACATGGCATGACGTGATTGACCACCTCCTCGGCTCCCTCCATGCATGGCAACATGAACAGGCGCATGATATGTCCATTCCATTCGTCCACGCATCAAGGCGGGTCCCACACCCCACCACCAGCCAGCCCCACTACAATGGCCCCCGTCCCGCCCCGTCCGGCGGTACAAATAGCCCCCACACCCCACCCACTCAGCACCATTTCACACCTCCTCGCCTCCCTCAGCTCCTCCCCGCTCTCATTCGGCCTGTTCGACCACGCCGCCGAGATGTGGAGCTCAGACTCCGACCCCGAGCTCGCCGCCGCCGCTGCCGTAGCGTCCTCATCTTCCTCCTCGTCCGCTACCTCCCCGCCGCCGACCCCGCCTCCTGCTGCACGCCTTCTCCGCCAACGCAACCGCAACCGCAACCGCCGCCGCCGCCGCAAACAGAGCAGCGCCGCCAGCGCGGTCGCCGTCTCTGCCCCGCCGGTCAACGAGCCCGAGGCGGAGGCGGAGGACGTGTGGCGCGGGGCGCAGTGGGAGGCGGCGTGGCCGGCGCGGCGGGACCCGAAGCCCGTGGTGCTCGCGGCGGGCGGGGACGACGCGGTGGGGCGGTCCCGGAGCCTGACGGACGACGACCTGGAGGAGCTCAAGGGGTGCGCCGACCTGGGCTTCGGCTTCAGCTACGACGAGATCCCCGAGCTCCGAGGCACGCTCCCGGCGCTCGAGCTCTGCTACTCCATGACCCAGCGCCTCCAGCTGGACGACGTCGACAAGCCTGCGCTGCAGCAGCACGACGCCGCCGCCGCCGCCGCACCGGATGCCTCCGCCGCGCTGTTGCCGCCGCCCGTCACCAACTGGAAGATCTCCAGCCCCGGTAAGCAACGCAACGCTGAGCAGGAAGCCGTCCATGACTTGGGTTCCTTGCTTGCTTCCCTCCTTGGTCACCGGAGCGGAGAAAACCAACTTGTCCACATCAATGAAGATGGATGGAATCTTTTCCCGTCACGGAACCAACCAAGAACACCACTTGTCGACGGACGATTTGCTCGCTTCTTTGTGTTTGTCGGCACCTGTTTCTAACGAGTGCAGTCGTCCTTGGTCTTTGGATAACCGCAGGTGATAGCCCCGACGAGGTGAAGGCGCGGCTCAAGTACTGGGCGCAGGCGGTGGCGTGCACCGTCCGCCTCTGCAGCTGAACGGCGACGATCCATGCGCACCACCATTCGCCGCCGGCAAACACACCATACTATATGTCTATATCATGCATGCCGCCGCCGCAAGAAACGATCGCCGACGAGGACAACAAACGACGGACCAAGAAGATGCCGGACGACCAGACCTGAATCCTGATCGCGAACGCGTTGCTGCGCTGCTGCTGTAAAGTGATCGAAATGCGGAGTCCCAGCTGCGACTGGGGGCGTTGGCTGCTGCCATGATTGATTGCAGCTGGAGAGTTTGGTGGAGCATTGTTGCTTGTTGGTAGTCGTCGTAGCAGCACACATGGGCTGGGCAGGTGGGAAGCGGTTTGGTTGGTTGCCCGACTTGCTGTGCTCTTGTTCCAGCTGAGCAACCTCCCTCTCTGCCTGACACTGTCCAGCCATCTCCAGGAAATAAAAACTATATATTGTACTACTAGCAGCAGTGATCGAAAATAATAATGTGCAGAGTAGTTAGTACTACTGCAAATCGGTGGATCAGAGTGAATAAATAAATCTGTGGATCTCATTATGCTGTTGCTTTATTAATCATTGGCTTGTTGTACTGCAGCTGTTTGGTTGTTTTATTTATCGTTTGGTAATCGTGGAGATGCTTTTCTTCTCTCTATTTGTCTGCATTGCTTTAGTCTAGTGCAAAGATTTGCTTCCAGCCTGGTCATGGCACCTGGCTGGGTCTGTCCTATGACCAGAACGAACGACAACTGATAGATTGGGCGACATAGAATAAAATGCTATCATGTGCGCCGCAGCCATTCAGATTTTTATACTATGCATTTCCGACCCCATTCCAAGAGATTCCAAACCAGATACACCACCTGGAGCCGCCTGGAGGCTGCAGCCTTGGTATCTAAGAACACTGAACTTTGCGAGCAAGAACACGACAGTTTTAGTTTCCACAGCGTCAGTATCATGTGAACAGTCAGACAATTATGGCCCCGTTCGTTTGTCTGAAAAAAGAAGCAAAAACACTGTAGCGGCTGGTTGTGTGAGAGAGAAATACTGTAGCGGCTGGTTGGTGAATAGTGGCGCTGTGAGGAGAAACCAGCCAGACGAACGGCACCTATAAGGATAGTTCATTTGATTAACCTTTTAATAAAAAACAGAAAAAATGGTATTTGAGATTGGGCATCTTTTCATGTGCGATCTGCTATTGCAAAAACCTTTTCTTGATTGTTTGCCAATGGCCATTAGAGCATGTCCAAGAGTTCTCTAAACATCCTCTTAATTCTTGTTTTGTAAAAGATAGGAAAAAACCCCTCTACAACAACTCCTAATATATACTCTAATCTTTTAGGACTTCGGAAATCCTCCCTCCTTGTGCGTAACTTTGTGCAGACGAAGCCACGCGTGGATCGGCGTTCCCACGGAGTCCTTCCCGCGCCTTTCCCAGCTTCTGGCCCTGGAACTTGTAGTGGTGCGACGCCAACGTCTCGGCCGTCTTGCCGGCGAGGAGGATGGTGACGAGCTGCAGCCCCTCCGTGAGCTCCCCGCCGTGTTGCACGAATTCGACGAATCGGTCCACGAGCGATGGCCCGATGTACATGACCGAGAGGTGCGCGACGCCGAGCACAGCGGTGAGAAGGAACTGCGGCCAGAAGGAGCGCAGCAGCGCGGTGAGCACCGGGCGCTGGGGCTTGGATGAACTCGGCGCCGGAGCGGGCCAGTTGGAGGCGAACAGCGCGTACGCCACCTCGGCGGTGTCGGGAGGCGCCACGGGAGGAACTTGGTCGGCCACGAGCGTCACCCTGGAGCCCTTGGCGATGAGCGGGTTGATCCTTCTCGGTCTTGTTGCCTGGCGTGGAGTTGATGACGATGGCCCTGTTCGGCTTACCTTAAAAGCCGGCTTGTTCGGCTTCTTTTTTCAGTCGGAACAGTGCCTTTCTCTCACAACAAATTCAGTTTTGGCTTATTTTTTCAGCCAAACGAATGGGACCGATGGAGTCATCGCAGCCCCGGACGAAGCAGAAGTGCCACCGAGGCGATGACGAGCGCCTGCTTGCTTGTGTGCAGGCTGCTGGCTGCCTGTTGCTACCCGCCTACTTGCTTGCATGGTACTGTATGCATGCTCTGTTTGCTTGCCTGGTGGCCGGCCGCTGTTGCCTGCTTGCCTAGTTGTCAACTGCTGGGCTAGGGCAACACGAAGGAAAGGAGGCGGCGGCGGCCTACCTATGCGCGAGCACGAACAATTCCGCGCGAAAAAAGTACTGAAAAAAACCAGGACCAAAATTTAATTTTTCAAAGTGAAATATTAGGAGTTATTAGAGATGACCCTCTTTTTTTCCAATACTTTTTAAGAGTCGAAAAATATAGAGTTTTTAGTAGGAATATTTAGAGAACTTTTGGAGTTGCTCTTATACTAGTACTCCAATTAACTTAGTTCTACTAGGTATAACTGTAAAGTCAAGTGCTCTGGTAATTCATTGCCGGATTAACGGATCAGTTTCCATGGACCGCGAGTGAAAAAAAAAAAAAAGAAAAGTCGCCACTTGTTTCACCTGATCCGGCGCCGGTTAGCTTGCGCGCCCGTCTGTTCCTCCGATAATTAATCAGGAGAAAACAGAAGGCCCAGAAGGACCACAAAAGCCATGAATTCGGCAGAAGACGGCTGTTTATAATTCGTTCATCACGCTGTTAGTTCCGTCAGGCTGTGAGACACTGCAACCCTCACATGATCCCTGTGAGCGAGAGAGGTCACAAACCACACAGCGCTTGCATTGCTGCGTCGCCACCACCTGTCCTCCGCCTCGATCGATCAGTCCCACTGTCCGTCACATGAGCTCGCGTGCATGCATGGCGATCATGCCATGCGTGCCCGTCATTAGTTCCTCCGCCTAATCATTGTGCTGGCGCTATCCACAGTACCTGACCTGCCAAGTGATGTGTTTCTGCCGTGCCGACATGCATGGTCATCTGCTTGTTGCTTGGCCACAGCACAGTAAAAATTTGCTCGCTATTTGGGGGTGCTGCGCGTTCGTGAAGCCCGAGTGGTGTGATGTGACGTGATTTTAATTACTGTTTGTCTTAGTAACACGAGAGTACGGACCCATAGACACAGTGGATCACCTATACATAGATGTAGCGGGTACAACCTTATATGTGGGATACAACTTTTTAGAACATGATCTAGAGAAAGAGGAAGGGAGATGAGATGTCACCGACCATCCACGGGCTTGGAGGAAGAGTTCGACGTAACCATGGCGAAAGTGATGCGGTCCGGGTCGGCAGTGTCGCGGTGACGGTGTTGAGGTCAGTCGCAGTGCAGTGGTGGCGCAGAGGCGACAGTGAAGACAGCAGTGGAGGTTCCCGTCGCTGGCTGCGCCCCCTCACTATATCGAATTGGGTTTGTCGGTGGGTGTGGTGGCTCACGGTAAACCTTGTTCCGAAAGCCGCCGGCCTCCACCTCTCTTTATAGAGCAGTGCGACGGGGGCCCACGAACCATGTAGGGTTGGGCGCCCCCAATCAGGGCATGTGGTCAAGGCCCAACTCAGCCGTTGGGCCGAGCTAGAGAGATCAATACTAACAATCTCCCTCTTGATCTCATCTTATTACTTAAACTTAACTTACTTTATTTTTTCCATTCCATCACAGATAAGTGCATATAGTTTGCCTCATCGTCACAGTCAGTACCATTAGATTAACAGCTACAATACACCTCCCTGTTTTGAAATAAATTCTCAACTAGGCCCTTATTGTCCAGGAATCATATGCTTTCCCTTAAACCCATGCCAGCTAGGTATTCTCTGAACACGTTGGGTGGTAAGCCTTTTGTAAGCGGATCCACGAGCATCTTTTCTGTACTTATGTGCTCAAGACTAATTATATGATCCCGGACTTTGTTTTTCACAACATAATAATTTATGTCAATATGTTTGGCAGCACCACTTGACTTATTGTTGTAAACATAACATACTACTGAATTATTATCGCAGTATAACTTGAGTTGCTTATGTATGTCGTCTACCACTTTTAACCCCGGGTATAAACTTCTTCAGCCAATTCACCCGCCCTGTGGCCTCATAACACGCTACAAACTCAGCATAAATCGTAGACGATGTAGTGACGGTTTGCTTGGAGCTTTTCCACGATATAGCTCCTCCTACGAGAGGAAATATATATCCTGACGTGGACTTTCTATCATCTCCCGCATAATCTGAATATAAATACCTCTCTATGTGTAGGGAATCAGATCTTCTGTACATTAGCATGAGGCCTTTTGTGCCTTACAAGTAACGCAAAACTTTTTTACTAGTCTCCAGTATTCTATTCCTGGATTACTCTGATATCTGCCAAGTAACCCGGTAACAAATGCTAAGTCAGGGTGTGTACACACTTGAGCATACTGTTAACTTTCGACAGTTGAAGCATATGGAACCGCTTTTATTTGATCGATCTCATATTGGTTCCTGGGACATTGGAATTCCCCAAATCTATCGCCTTTGACTATGGGAGCAGGTGAAGGCTTACAATTTTGCATACTGTATTTCTTTAGAACCTTTTCTAAGTATGTCTTTTGTGATAATCCTAAAAGCCCATTTCTTCTATCTCGGTGAATCTCTATTCCCAGAACCAACAAAGCTTCACCGAGAACCTTCATATCAAAATTCGAGGATAAGAACTTCTCTGTTTCTAGTAGTAGATTAACATCACTACTAGCGAGTAAGATGTCATCCACATACAAGATTATGAAAATCTATTTCCCATTCTTGAACTTTGCATAAACGCAATTGTCCTCTACTTTTTCTTAAAACCCAAACTTTCTTATTGTACTATCAAACTTTAAATACCACTGTCTTAATGCTTGTTTTAATCTGTAAATAGATTTCTTCAGGCGGCATCCCATACGTTCTTTTTCTTCCACAACAAAACCTCTTGGTTGTGTCATGTAAATATTTTTCTCCAAATCCCTGTTTAGGAACGTCGTCTTTACATCCATCTAATGTAATTCTAAATCATATTGTGCTACAAGCGCCATTATAAT